CCCCAAAACCCCAAAACCCCAAAACCCCAAAACCCCAAAACCCCAAACAAAAGTCATAATTTTAAGAAATAGAAATTATAATATTTCCATATTTAGTAACTTCTAATCCAAAAATGCAGTTGAAGGACAGAATAGAGAACCTAAAGACTGAAAGTGAGGATAAAAGAGAAAAATTTCAAGGTCAAAATAAAGGAAGTGGCAGCAAAGAAAAGAATCTTAATTTTAGTAGTCTAAGTCTTGCACCTGAGACTGAAGAGTCTAATACAAAGGAGCAAAAGCCTATAAGTTTAATGGCACTAGTAAATAAATCTAAATAAGGTAGCCAAGGAGGAGCTTACCCAATTACAAGAAGAGATGGCTTCAATTGAATCATTGGATAAAGCATTATTTCTTGATCTTGGTGGACTCGAATCGGTTAACTTGGACTTTGAAGTCAATGAGGATGGAGATTTTCCCTTAGGGCTTGCATGCAACAAGGGCTCTCATGAAATTGTATCTCTGATCCTTTCCAATCCTTCCTGAAATCCACATAGGATTAATAATCAAGGAGCTAATGCATTTTGGTTGGCTTGAGAAGGAGGTAAAGACGAAAACTTGCCTTTACTAGTAGAGAGGGATGTTAATTACCTAGTTAAAACAAATAAAGGATTAAATAGCTTACACATTGCAGCAATGAAGAATCATTATAAGGTAGTAAAATACCTAATCGAGCTTAAGTTTCCACTAAATATTAGGGTGAATCAAGGACCAACTGCTTTATCAATTGCCTCTGAATTAGGACACTTTGATATCGTAAAATTACTTGTAAAATCAGGTGCAAAAATTAACAAACTCAGTAAGGATGGGGATGGACCTCTCTATAAAGCCATTGAGAATGGTAACAAAGATATTGTTCAATTTCTTGCTGAAAACGGAGCAAAAATGGTATTAAGCGATAAATATAACGTTGACCCTTCAGCAAAGAATTCTAAGAAACAGAATGCTTTACAGTTTGCTGCTTCCTTAAAACTTACAAGTATTATGGATTGCCTGATCAAAAGAATGCCGGATCTTGATCAGGAGGATGAATCAGGATTTACCTTATTCTCCAGATACATACTGCAAGAAAACTTCAGCATATGATCAAAATTATTAGACTCTGGTTGAAAATTAGACCATGTGAATATTAATGGAAAGACACCTCTTCATCTTGCAGTAGAATGTAGGAAGATCAAAGCCATTGAGTTCTTACTAGATAAAGGTGCCAATCCCCATATTGAAAACTTTTACGGCGAAGATATCTGTGAAAAGATCCAGAAATATAATTTAGTGCTCAAAGACAGAGTTATGATCCCTATCTTACAATGCTGACCTGACAAAAGGATTAAAATTGATCCAGAGAAGATTAGAGAAGAGGTTCAGGATAATAACGAAGAAGGATCAGACTCAGGTGTTGAGGAGGATGAGCCTCAAGACCAAGAGTCTATTATATACGATAATCCTTCCTCCAGTTCAAGCTCTAGTTCTGATACAGAAAATAGTGAACTAATGATGACAGGGAGCTCTTTCTGGGTCTCTGAGATAGGGAATGCTTCCCCCTCTTCAAAAAGTCGGATCATAGATAATGAGAGCTCTCAGAAGTTCATCCAAAGACTAATTGAGCAGGATAATCCGAACAAAATTGATATTATTAACAAACCTTCTACTCTACAAAAGCCTGCACTTCACTCAAAATAGCTTGTTTAAGATGAAGACATCAAAAGTGGCCGAAGAACAAGCTAAACCTGACCCTCCTCAAGAAGGAAAAGACTTAATGACTCTGGCTCCAACTAATGAAATTGATCATAGAACTTCAATGAACTCTATGGTTTCAAATAACTTCAAAATTAACATAATCGAACAAAATGAAGAAAGTGAGTTTCTGAAAGCTATTACCGTCCAAAAACAAACTGTAAGTTAAACTAAGATAAAAATTTATTCAAACTAAGCTTAACACAGTACTCTGACCCAAAAAAATAAATTAACCTCTTTCCATATCCAACTCCTCTCACTTTTTCCATAAATCCCCACCATCTCACCAATATACCCTCTCCACTCCTCCACTCCATTTCCCCAAAATATCTTCCTGCTTCACTCTGACTCCCTCCTCTAGGAATCCAACCCAGCCATTCCTAACACTAAAAATCCAGACCAGGCCAAACCAAAAATCGAAGAAATCAAAGAACAACCTGAAAACCCCCCAGACCAGACCAAAACCGATCAACCCAAGCCTGGCTCCCAAGAAGAAACCAAAAACCAGCCTGAAGAAGATGCCGAGCAACCAGCCAAGAAGAAAAAGAAGAAGAAGAAAAAGAAGAAATCAATTAAGAAGAAAGATATAGAAGGAGCTAATGGTGACGATGAGCCCCTCAACCAGGATTTACATCAGGAAGAGAAAGAGCAGAAGTTTGAAACTGAGATACCAGTCCCTGTAGATAAGGAACATGTTCAACTTGCTGGGATACAGAGTGTTGGCAAGGCAGTTAATTTAGACAAGTTCTTACTGAGTGACCAGAGTAATTCTGTTTTATCAAAAATTACTAAGAAAAAGAAGAGAAAGAAGGTTAAAAAGCAAGTTGAAACCCCAGATACAAACAAGGAAACCAAAGAATCAGAAAATGATAGGTTTGGAAACAAGAATTCAGAAGGGAAAGAAGGTGCGATGAGCTTTGATGAAGGGAAGCCTACTCTTTCTGAATTGAAAATAAAATCGAAGAGGCCTAGAGAACTTCCAGAATCAATAAAGAATTTAGATGATTTGGATAATAAATCTATTGAATCAGCTGAGCTAAAGCTTAAAGAGAGCCTATCAAACATAAAAGACCAACCACTTACAAGTAGAAAGAAAAAGCTTGGTAAGCTTAGGAAAGTGTCTCGGTCTCCTTCAATTTCAGGGCGAGGCTCTGGAAAATTAAACGACTCCAGCATCGATGGAGGAGACCTTGACCCAAAAGAGTATTATAAGCAATACGCCAAATCGAAGAAAGAGAAAGAACATCTTGAACAATTGAGCACTCTTAAAATGCTTGAAAACGGCAAGGCTCAACTGAAACAAGACTTGATGCTTGGTTCCACTAGTAGTAAATCTAGCACAAAAGTAAAGAAACCTTCTCGATATTCATAAACCTAAAATTAAATGATAAGCTTTAATAACACATAAGCTCACTATAAATATTATTAACTAACGGAGTGTAAAAATTAATGCATATTTAGGCTTAATGATTCCATCTCTATCACTTATTACTCAAAGCCTATATAACTTACTCCTGTCCTACATCTTCTTCCATTTTTATTTTCTAAAGCAATCGCCATATTTCCTCAATAATTGAAAACTGTAAAGGGGTTTTGGGGTTTTGGGGTTTTGGGGTTTTGGGGTTTTGGGGTTTTGGGG